CCTCCTCTTCTGTCCGAGGCTGGTGTGGGGTGAAAATCCTCCACCTCAGACGTTCAGAGATGTAACTACAGTACGTATCTGCGATACTGTGGTCATTCTCCATGTAGCATCAATTATGCTAATGCTAGCTGTCACGCTCTCGTCCTGGCCACACCTCCGCTCTCTAACCTCCCCCCTCCCCTACCCACTTTGATGCATTTTTCAAATTTCGCCTTGGGGCGGAGTTATCTTTTCACAGGGGGGTAAGATACACTTTAAGGCTCCAGCATGCTACAGCCGAACTGCCGATATTGTGCCGAACTGTTGCAGTTTCATGACGAAAATAGCGTCATTCAGTTCGCATTGTTGACACTTCGGCACTTCTTGACGCAACCCGCGGGTCGAACTTTTCACTCCCCTCCACATAAGAACACATACGAACTATATTGTGTGATTGGTCAGTGTTTGTGCTGAAATTGCTCAGACGCTGCGTTTTGCATCAACGACTCGCTACAAAAAAAGAAAGGAATATAAAAAAGAAAGAAAAGCGATTCGCTTTCAGAGATCACTGTTACCAGGAAGCAGCAGTTTATAAAGATAGTCAAACAGAGATAAACTCATAAAAGGGGATAAAACAGACATTTTTCACGGTGGAATATGACTGATAAAAACTTTGGAGCTTAATCCGGGACCAGTTTGCAGTTAAACAACGTTGGGTGACGAGTCTCAAACTTTTTTTTCGGCAATGGACTCCCCCAGGAAAGAAACCCCATGCAGTGACGTATGCTGCAGCGGGAGGGGTTTCCCAGGAGCTTGGCGCGGGGTGTCTCAGGAGCTATGAAAGGTGTGTTCGAAAACGAACGCCAAACAACCACGTAAGTGATGGTGCGTCGACCTATCGGCTGCCGAGCGACCATACTGCTAGCTTTAATGCTAAATCCTTGGGCCATGTGTCAATGGACGTAACAGATCAGAATCAGAATCAGAATCAGAATCAGAATCAGGTTTATTGGCCAAGTATGTTGACACATGCAAGGAATTTGTTTCCGGCTGTTTGTGTCTCTCTAGAATTAACACTATTCACAGATAGTTTACATATAGTTTACACATAGTACACAATATACAGAAAGATACATATTATACTTCACTATACCAGGATATTTCTGTGTGGTGTGCTTTACAGTGTTATTCACAAAAAAGCACTATGACAGCACTATGCAGAGTGAATATTAAATATTAGAACGACAGCAGCAGTGTAGAGGTAGATGATTATGAGTAAGGTGCAGTAATGCAGTAATGTATAATAAGAGTGATAAATAGTTCTCTGTAGTATAGAATATATGATCTAGCTGATGGATGTCTGATGATCAGCTGTTGATGATGGTGATGGCCTGGGGGAAGAAACTGTTCTTGTGTCTGACAGTCTTAGTGAATAGAGTTCTGTAGCATCTGCCAGACGGGAGGAGTTGGAATATGTTGTGACTCGGGTGAGTGGAGTCCATGATGTGTTTTCAGCCTGTTTCCTGATTCTTGAGTAATACAAGTCCTGAATGGAGGGCAGTGACTTTCTCAGCTGTCCTCACTGTTCGCTGCAGCCTGTTCCTGTCCTGCCTTGTGGCTGCTCCAAACCAGACTGTTATGGATGTGCACAGGATGGACTCAATGACTGCAGTGTGGAACTGGATCTGCAGCTCCTGCGGTAGGTCCAACTTCCTCAACTGGCGTAGAAAGTACAGTCTCTGCTGGGCCTTGTTGAGGACGGAGGAGATGTTGGGCTCCCACTTCAGGTCATGTGAGATGGTGGTTCCCAGGAATCTGAAGGACTCTACCGTAGACACGGGGCTGTTGAAGATTGTGAGAGGCAGCAGTGCAGGGGGGTGTCTCCTGAAGTCCACTCTCATCTCTACAGTCTTGAGCGTGTTCAGCTCCAGGTTGTTCAGGTTGCACCAGGACATCAGTCGTTCCACCTCCTGTATGCAGACGCTTTGTCATCACGGATGAGTCCAATGACTGTAGTGTCATCTGCGAACTGCAGGAGTTTAACAGATGGGTCATTAGAGGTGCAGTCATTGGTGTATAGAGAGAAGAGCAGTGGAGAGAGCACACATCTCTGAGGGGCATCAATGCTGATGGACTGTGAGGAGGACATGATTTTCCCCAACTGCACCTGCTGCGTCCTGCCTGTCAGGAAGCTGGTGATCCACTGACACATGGCAGGAGAAACAGTGAGTTGGGAGAGTTTGGTGGAGAGAATGTCTGGAATGATAGTGTTAAATGCCAAACTGAAATCAAGAAACAGAATTCTTGCATAAGTCCCCGGGTGATCAAGATGTTGCAGGAAGAAATGCAGTCCCATGTTGACTGCATCATCCACTGACCTATTTGCCCAGTAGGCAAACTGCAGGTGGTCTAGCAGATGCCCTGTGACGTTCTTCAGGTGGGTCAGCATCAGCCGTTCAAAGGACTTCACGACCACTGACATTAAGGCGACGGGCCTGGAGGGTTTCTTGGGGACTGGAATGATGGTGGAGCATTTGAAGCAGAAAGGAACTTCACACAGCTCCAGTGATCTGTTGAATATATTTGTGAAGATTGGAGCCAGTTGTTCAGCACAGGTATTAAGGCAGGAAGGTGAGATGCCATCTGGTCCTGGTGCTTTCTTGGTCTTTTGTTTCTGAAACATTCGGCTCACATCAGCTTCGCATATCTTGAGTACAGCTTGAGTGGTGGGGGGAGGGAGAGACAGAGGGGGTGTTGATGATGTGACACAAAGTTGGAGCTGCAGTGTTTGTTCAGCACTGAGACATCTGAGGACCAACCTTCGTTCATATAGAAACATATTCCGCCGACTCTTGCCTTTCCTGACAGCTCCGTTACGTGGTCCGCTCTGTGAAGATGAAAGCTGGACAGATGTAGCTCGCTGGCTGAGCCAGGTCTCAGTGAAGCAGAGAGCAGCCGAGCGTGAGAATCTTTTGACGGTCTTGTTGATGAGAAGCAGTTGGTCCATTTTGTTGGGTAGAGAGGAGAGATTCACTAGATGAATCGTGGGGAGAGCCGTTCTAAATCCTCGCTGGCGGAACTTCACATCTGCACCGGCGCGCGTCCCCCGCCTGCGTCTCTTCCGCACTCTCCACAGAACTGCCGCTCCTCCAACTATTAACTCTAGAAAACTTTCCACAACAATGTGAGAGAGTTTGATAGAGTATGTACGTGACTTTGATAGTATGTGTGAGCGAGTTTGATAGTATTCAGTGGGTAAAATAAGTATTGAACACGTCACCATTTTTCTCAGTAAATATATTACTAGAGGTGCTAATGACATGAAATTTTCATCAGATGTCGGTAACAACCCAAGTGATCCATACATACAAAGAAATCAAACCATAAATGTCCAGAAATGAAGTTATTTGTAATAATGTGGAATGGCACAGGGAAAAAGTATTGAACACACTGTGGAAATGTGGAACACTTTTAAACTTTATTTTATGTTTTGTTCATAATCAGTTCATCTTGTATTCAAGGTTTTCAGAATCAGTAATCTGGTCACTGTCTTAATTTCACTGTGTGTGCGTGTCACTATGGTCAAAAACATGTTTGAAGAACAGGGTCAGAGTCCAGGTTCCTTAGCGTTTCAAGGCTGTGCATATAGGGCGAAGCTGAGGGAACCAATGACAGAGTAGGAGGGTACTGGACCATGGGCAGCTCAGTTCAGCTGCCCATGGTCTAAATAAACGTCTCAGTTTCGGAGAAACTGAGACATTTATTTTCTAAACATGATGTCCCAGTAGCTTTCAAACCCCCAAACACATTACGGCAA